TGGAAAGGCCGTCGACTCGATCAATTTTAAATGAAAGGTCTTGATAATCAACACTTATATATATATATATATCATTAGTAAGGTTTATTTACAGCAAGGATAATTTCACCTACTAATGATGTTAAAAAGAAGATAAATAAGCATATTATTTTAGTTTTTTCTCTGGGATAGAACTATTAAAAAGAAAAACAATAATAAGATCATATAAAATGGGAGGACAACAGGTTCCAGATATTCAACATAAAATAGAAGCATTATTATTGGACAGAATATCCCAGATAACCAAGGGAAATCGATCAATATGGACAAGTTTATTCATATACTTTTTAGGCCTAAGGACAAGAGATATTCTGCCAGATATGGCAAGAAATTGTTATACTCATTCAGTCAATATATCAGGAGTATCTGATGTTTTGAGAAATGTTTACATCAAATATAAAAGTAAAATAAAGAGAGAAAAAGCAAATCAAAAAGAAAAATATAATCAAATTATACAATAAAATTGAGAATGGAAATGGGGACTAAGTCAAAGAGACAACAACCCGACCAAAGAGCAGACAACAACCGAAGGCCACCAATGGGTCTACAACGCAGCGAGAAAATCCCGCACCCGGAGGTGGTCCTCAGCTGGCCCCTAAATAAAAGTGTGTACTAGTTCAGTGAAAATGGACGTCATACTAAACTCCAAAACATATAAATGAACTAAAATTAAAAGACATACAAGACTAACAAAGGCCAGAGGCTCCTGACTTGGGACAGGCGCAAAAATGCGGCAGGGTTGAACATGTTTTGTGAGATCTCAACCCCCCCCCCCCCCCTATACCTCTAGCTAATGTAGAATAAAGAAACACATAGTAATACGCACAGTAAAACTCAGTTTAAAAGAAGTCCGAGTCCGATGTCAGAATAGGTAACAAAAGAAACCAAGTAAAATGACAATGATACACAAATGAACAAAGGACTACTAGCAGTTACTGACATGCCAGCTCCAGACCTCAATTAAATTGATTGAAAGATTATGTCTTCATCATATGAAAATCAAGTACAATCCCTCTCGTTAGGGGTTTAGTATCATACCGTCATAAAATATATGAGAAAAACATAACCGATATCATGCTAACAACTGGTTTTAGAATAAAATTATATGTTTATTTCCGATGCAAAGACCCTATAAGTGAATCAATATTAATACCAAAATATGCAACCCTAATGACTTGAAAACAGTATCGTAACTATATCCTCTCCGAATAAGTCTGTTTGAAGGTTTGGTCAGCTTTTGAGGTGAATGCCGACATTTTTGTGCTTTGTAAAGAATATTACCATAAAATATTGGATGTGAAATACCTGAACGTATAAGACGTCTGCATGTTGATTTATATTTACGAATGATGTCCTTGTACCGATGATGAAATTTAGTAAATGTTTAGACTAGTTTGTGATATCGAAAACCCTGGTGTAATAATTTTTCAGTAATATAGATCTTCGTTGAAATCAGATACGTTGTTACATACACGAGCGAACCGAACAAGTTGAGATATATAAACACCATAAGATTGTAACAAGGGAACGTCACCATCTAAAAATGGATAATTAACAATAGGAAATGAAAAATCATCTCTTTTATCATAAATTTTGGTATTAAGCTTCCCGTTAAAGATATAGATATCAAGATCCAGGAAAGGGCAGTGTTCATTGTTAGTATTAGCTTTTATTTGGTTATGCGCACAGTATTTGGAGTTACAGGAAATCGACAAATGAAAACCTTTATGAAAAGTTAATGGTAAAGTACCACAAAGATGTGAACTGTTACAGAAAACCAAATGAAAATACTATTTAAAGTAGAATGATTTTATAATTTATAACCTTTTTTGAGAAAATAAAAACAATCAATTATAGAGCACGACGATGAAAATGTTAACATAAAATGTATAAATCTCTTTACCCCCAAAAATGATTGGGGTATGTAAGATGTGAATAATATAAAAATAATTAACAAGACAAAAATAACAAATACAACAGCATGATATCACCTGTACCTGCATAAATTTGGGTTTCAAAAATGAAAATAAATATTAAATATATGAATATAGCTATAAAAATTCATTTTTCTATATTATCTCGCTATGTTATATCCTTTTTTATGATATCTCTTTAGGTTATATATCCTTTTTTATATTCTATTTCTATTCTTATTTTTAAAACACACAAGTTCAAAATATAAGTACTTTAGTCTAAATTTTTATTTTTTCCCCTTCTAAGCATCTGTAAAAGAGGGACGAAAGATACCAGAGGGACAGTCAAACTCATAGATCGAAAACAAACTGACAAGGAAATCATGATAGGAAACACAAGCCCGGGAATATCGTATCAATTGGGAGATAAAACACAACTATGCTGCTTTCTATACTTTTAATACTAATTAACTTACGTACTCGTAACTTTATATATTTTAACTACTTTGTTATTTTTCCTAAAGTAAGAAAATAAGATAATTAAAATTATTATATAATTATGTGAAAATAATTTATTAGTTAAAATCTAAGAAATAATAGTAAAACTTTTCAATAAGATTATTTTTTTATATATAAAATTATGTAAATATTAACGACAGTCTGAGTTCTCACTAAGAATGGGAGAAAAGCATCCTAGTAGTGTGTGACGTATATGCCTGACATCAGCGCATCGACGAAACCTCTCGGCTACCAATGGGTTGCAACTTATATGTCTATTATATATATATATCAATGAACATATTATACACATCGGTACAACGGACACACAGAGCTTGTACATTTATATATACATAATAGACAATCGTATAGTTTAAGTTGGTAGTTGCCAGGTTTAGATGAATGAGTTGTAGAGTGAAGTTAGAAGTAGAGATTTGTCGGCTTATGTTCGAATCCCTGTTTCTCTTTGTTTTCCCTTTTCTTTAGTTTTTCTTTTTTGTGGATATTTTTGAATAGTGATGTGCCTAGAATTAGGTTTCTTGCTAGAAATGTCGGTACCATAATTATATATACTTAGAAATCAGTTCAAATATGTCTTATTTTGTAAATCATGGATAATATTCAGATGCATTATAATTGAAGGGAAGTGCATGGGATTTTGTTTTAATATTTTTTCATGATTGAATCCACTACCTATACACTTTTAATTAATAATGGTTGTTTCTTGTGAATTATTTGAACTCACTGATAATAGAACCTAATTAACGAAAGAACTGTAATTTTGAAAGACGTATTAATTATAATTTACCAGTTGTAGATTTGAAAAGCTTATATCATATGGACTTGTGTTTTGAGGCCTTTCTTTCTAAATATCGACCTTAAGACCGTACTTTGACCTATAATGGTTTACTTTTATAAATTTTGACTTGGGTGGAGGGTTGGCTCATTGGCACTCATACCACGTCTTCTTATATCTAATTAAAGAACAACTTTGAATTGAATTGAATTGAACGAGCCAAGGATTTGTATCCTTGATCGAACTGACAGTAAGAGCATAAGTAAGTAAGTAATCTTTATTTTAAGTCGAGTTTTCATACATACAATCACGACATAGAACATATAAGCTCTTTACAGCTCTTTAACCGACTGATATAATCATGATATAATATATAATAACATAACAATATCAATATCAATCTTCAATTAGCAACATATACATTTTCAGCACATATGAATAAATACAGAGCACATGCAATTGCATAATATATATAACACACACAGGCATTAAACATTTGTTAAAAGCACCAATGAATATGTATGTAGAGACAAAGCACGTGCAATGTAAAGAGCAGATAGGCATATTCCCATAAAACACATACAAGCAATAAAACATTAATAAGATATATATCAACACATATCACGCATGCAAAAACAATAAAATAAAGAACTAGTAGAAACACAAGCATATGAATGTAATCCCAAGTAGGCTTAAAAGATTATGTCGGACACAGCAAGCCAGTTCATTACTTTAATACACGAGCTACGTGTACAATTTTCTGAAAAAAAATCAAGTGGAAATAAAAAAAATTGACTGGCCAAAGGTTGATAGACTCTCGCCTAATGAGACAAGGAAAACAAGGAGTTCCATATTCTTGCTGCCTCATAACCAAAGATTTTCTGACCATACCTTGTTGTTTTCGGTCATGGTTTATCAGTTATAGCTAAATATCATGCTTGTTTACCTAAAATTATACGCATTTTCTTTAATGGTTATCAAATTATGTAAACAATTCATAGTCAGAGAACAGAAAATGTGTCGTCACTAAAGTCATTTGCTGGATGCAGTAGATAGATAGATTTTTCTTAAAAAACTAAATGTTGTTGATACATAAATTTCCGTTTTTAATTCATGATATTTGGTGTATTAATCAAACAATCTGGTACCTAGTTGTCAGTGAAAAACGTAAAAAATCGACTTTTACGGCTTACAAAGCGATGACGTTATAAATACGCTTATTTCGACGTTGTGTGGTATTGTTCACATAGCTGAACACCACTTTAAATGATAGACTATATACCCATACCCATATGCGTATCCAAGGGGGGGGGGGGGGGGGGGGGGGGCTCCCCCTTTAAGTGGAAAAAATGAATCACTGAAGCATGACTGGAGCGGGCCCCCTTTTTAGGGCAGTCAGCCGGCCCCCCTTACGAAAATTTACCCTATTATTATTTTATACCACTAAAAAGGAAATTTATGTATCAACAGCATATCGTTTTTGTAAGAATAATCTATGTAACTATTTGAAATTTAAGATTTGATGATTTTAAGACAAATTTAAGAACCGTTTAGTCAATCGGTAATATTTCAGAGAATAAAAAAGACAAATGCATTATTTTTTCGATTTTCAGTTAAAGTTTAACAAGACAAAATTATATGCAAAATTTTATCAAAACCTGTGACATAGCCCATTTATATACTTTAACTAGACCTGGCTTAAATTAGGTGACAAGGTCGGGACTACGTTCCATTTTTTGCATGTCATATTTTGTAAACAAATATGGCAGCATCCATAACAGATTTGGAGAACAACTTCCTTTCTCTCCCGAATGAAATAATAGAATTAATCCTTCACGATAATATTCTAGATTTTAGAGATATTACCAATATATCCACAACGTGCGTGCGTTTACGGACTTTATGTCAAAGCAACGAATTATGGAGGAGACAGTTACAGCTGAGGTTTTCTTTCACGTTTCACAAATTATTTTTAGTTATACAAACATTAGTAATAGAATAAAACAATGAATTTGATGATGATGTCAGATAGGTACCTGTTTAACGTCCAGCTGCAAATTAAATGCATATTCAGGACGATAACATGTTAATGTAACATGAATATTTACCCTGCTTTGTAGTGGTCACTTTACTTTAATTTGTATCTACTAGACCGACATGTTGATCTAGATTTTTAACGTGCTAGTTCTAGTAACAGTCTGTAGGACATGTCACCCTACCTGCCCTGGACATATTCTCCTGACTCCGAGCAGACCAGTCTTTGCTTTTACCGGTATCGGGTCCGTTCGCCCTAATTACAAATGTACATGTTCGCCCTGGGTCCGTTCGCCCTAATTACAAATGTACATGTTCGCCCTGGGCCGTTCGCCCTGAGTCCGTTCGCCCATAGAGTCCATTCACCCTGGGTCCGTTCGCCCTAATTTTTATAAAAAGAAATAAAATTAATGGTTTAATTTAAAGTTTTGTAATCTTATTCAGATATAATTTAAATGGTAAATATAAAAAATGTTTATCTCCAAATTCAAGAATAAACATTGAAATTAAAAAAAAGGTTTTTGTTTTTGGAGCATTAATCAGGCTAATTGGCTTCATTGTTACATTTGTTTTTATTCAGAATTACTCTTAATGACTGTTGATTGTAAATAAACTCATCACAGATACCAAGATTGAAACTTTGTACGCCAGACACACGTTTCGTCTACAAAGGACTCATCAGTGACGCTCGAATCAAAAAAGTTAATAAGGCCAAATAAAGTACAAGTTGAAGAGCACTGAGGACCCTAACTTCCTTAAAGTTTTGCCAAATACAGCTAAGGTAATATATTTCTGAGGTGGAAAAGCCTTATTATTCCGAAAATTCAAAGTTTTGTAATTTAGAATGCTGATTAGATATGATTACGATGTCTTTGGTATCACTGATTGTTGTAGTTATTGTTTTTGGTGGATTAATAATGAAATTGTTTTTTTTAAATAAACAAGTCAGCTTGGAATGAGTTAAAACAATGATGTAAGAATTGTAAGACATTAAAGGGAAATTGTTTTAGCCGCTTAATTGGCTTCTTTGATCTCAAGGTGTTGAATGAGTTGGATCTTGTTATACCTGTTTGGATAGTTTTGAAATTGTAACAAGGTTTCAAAAAAGATAAATTCATACAGATAACTTGGTCTCCAGTTCCTGAACACTTCTTCTTCTTCTTCAAAATACTGTCCACATTCAACATGATGAATATTCTTGCAAGAATATTCAATGCAAATCAAAAGAAAAATCATTATCTGTTAGCATCAATACAACACAAATCCCCGTCTCATGGGTTTTCGTGCTATTAAGAATGCATTGTGACGTCACAATTTCCATTGAAAAAGCATGCATAGTACGAATTCATATGACGTACGAAAACGTATGATCTGACCAAATATTTCGGCGGAATTTTCAACAAACTTTAACATAATTAATTCAAATAATTTATATTATACAAGACAACAAAATAAAATAGATATCAGGGCGAACGGACTCAGTGCGAACAGGAATTAGGGCGAACGGACCCATGGCGAACAGGTATTAGGGCGAACAGGTACTAGGGCGAACGGACCCGGATTCGCTTTTACCAGTCAGGGGACTTACTTAAATGAGTGATTTTCTAAATCACTGATTCAAGTAACATTATGCCCACAAAGGTTGGAAGTAAGAGTTGTCTTTCTTTAATAATCACCTATTTAAGTAGTACAAATAAATCACTAGACTAAGTATTTTATTTTAATTGTAGCTTCAACTATACAATACAGGGACTACTTATGTTGCTTAAATTATCAGAACCAACATCTGTGTTGATAGGATGACCGGTCATGTCAGGTGATGGCCTTACACTGAATCTGGGATAATGACATGAAAAATCACTTGTTTAAGTATCATACCTCTATTGTCTTCCAAAAAATCACTTCTTTAAGTATTATTATTTTAATAACCCCCACTAATTTCAACACCCCCGGAACATTGAAATTTTGATCGCGAACAGTAAAATTTTATGACATAATCTGTAAGATGAAACCTTGAATTTTACAGGAAAAAATACTCCCACTGCTGGGAAATATCTGTGAAGAAAGTATAAGTTCATTATGTAAAGCCTTTATTATAGCATTTTTTCAACTAAAATAGAATTTACAGTTAAATGATTGCATCAAAGGCATAAACCTTGCTACTTGAAAGAAGCAAAAGGTTCATTTTTTTCAATTTTACTATTGATAAGATATTATCTAAACCTATGTGTTTAAAATTTTGGTAAAACTACAAAATCACAATTTGTGACAAAATTTCGAATTTGCTACTTAAATAAATGATTTAAAAATCACTTATTTCAGTAATTCCCCTGACTGTTTACTCCTTAATGGTGCTTAGTGGAGAAGCATCAAATATCAGTTTTAATTTTAAAATCTTTGGTTTGACCAGGCATGCTAGGTTGAGTTTGAAACCCACAACCTGCGAAACTCAAGGCAAACACACTACCACGAAAATAACAAGGCGGTACTAATGATTTTGAAATTCATTTCCTATTGTATAGATCCTTGCATGAAGTACATGTAGCTTTTTAAAGAAGCACTTTTTTTGCTAGTCCAAAAAATTATGATGTCTTGAAGACTAGAAGGCATATCACAGCAAAAAATTACCATAGACTTTCAAGACGTCATAATTATTTGGACTATTTTCTTGCATGCTATTAAAAATATTGATAAATCAAAAGATAGAAACTTTTGTTCAAAAAATGCATGTACATTTTGTAGTCAATGACAATCATTTCATTAGTCTGTGAATTTGCTTAGGTACAGACTTAACAGATAAATGAAATTAACAGCCAGCATCATACATCAAGTATATAACCAACCCTACTTTTTTCCACATTCAGGCTTGCATGCCTGTTGTAGTTTGTGTAGTCACAGGGGCTCGTATCAAAGATGTTTTTGAGGCGAAAATATATGCCAGTCGACTGGTATGCGTTCTACATTGTGTTTATAGGGGATAAACACAATGTATAATGGTAGAACGCATACCAGTCAACTGGAATATATTTCCACCGAAAAAACATCTCTTATACAAGCCCCTGTGATGTAGTTAGTCAATGTTGGTTTAAAATAACAGTTTTTGATATTATATCTCAAATTGGATACATCAATTTTATTTACTTGAAGATGTAAGTAATAGTTACTTGTTTAAGTAAAGGAGAAGGTCCAGTAAGGGTTTATTTTGGCCTAAAATTTGAAGAACATCCGATTCTGATGAAAGACTTTTGACATTTTTTAAACACTTAAGTGTCTTCTTCAGTTGATTCAATTAGTTTATGCAAAAGATTTGAACTGATTTGGTGATTTAAGACACCTAAATTCAAGCTTAAATTTGAAAAATCTATCAAATATGCCACAAAACGTCACTTTTCAGATGGTTTTTGTCTAAAATGGATGTGGACGCATTTGTGTTCAGTGACTTCAGTCTCAAACTTATGTTATGTATCATCATCAAATTCAACATATATTTGAATATTAAGACTGAACACAAGTGCTGCCACTTCCGTTTTAGACAAAAAACGTCTAAAAAAAAGCACAAATGCTTACAATTGTGAAGATTTCAGTTTTGAGTAATTTTGCATGATTAATTATGCTAGTACCTGATGCATATGCATTGCATTGTCAAAAACAGCCCATATTTATGTAACAGAAGTATTCTTCTTTCCAATAAATAGCTAAAAGTTTACATTTTTTATAAATTTTTGAAAAGCTATATTTTGGAGCCAAAAAGGGGTCTTACCAGGCCTACTCCTTTGTAAGATTTTTATCTTATTTTCAAGGTTTGAATAATCTCTCCTTAATCTTCTCCAAAAATTTACTAGTACAAGTAATTTTTTTACAACCCCTTAAATCCTCAAGTTTTGGGAGGTCAAAACATGCCTTTACAATATTTTTCTGGTTTGCTAATTAATTTTTAAAGAGAGTTCAACCGTTTATCTCAAGAACTAAACAAAGAAGTCTATTGCACACAGGTATTAAATAACTGCGCAAGGCCTCCAAAAAATAGGTTCCTGAAGACTGGTAAATGAGTAGTATTTTGAAGATAACAGACAAATGAGATATTCATGGTCTATGAAATTATGCTTTTATGAATAGTAAAGACAACTATTAAAGACAGACAAATAAACACTCCAATAGAGCAATGTACAAATGTAGTCAAGAGAAATTCAAGAAAAGAAGAAAATAAGACTTTTTCACTTATATAAGTAAAATACATGTATATCTAAATGTCTAAATGTCTAAGGGATGTAACTCTTCCTCCAAAATAATTTACCTGCACTAGTAAATAAAAGACACTTGTATAAGCATTACCCCTGACTGACTTTAGGGATACTTTTATTTGTTCATATATATCTCAACTGCATACAATTATGCAAGTGTATAAAATTATATACTGTAAATTCAGAAATTATTGCGAGGTTTTTATTAATGTGAATAATGCGACTGGGTGAGTATTGCAATAATATGAACTTGCATTCTGATAACTAAAACATAGACCTGTATGCAGATTTTTTTGAAATCGCAATATTTAAACTCGCATTTTTGTCCATTCTTGAAAAATCGCATTAATAAATGCATGCAATAATTTCTGAATTTACAGTATTTATTTATAAAATAATTATTTAAATATTGTAAAAAGTGATATATTATGCGTCCAAAATGCTTAACTGGATGTACCTTAATCAGGAAGGCTCAAAGCCAAATATTTGAAAGGCAATTGCAAGGATGTTTAAGTACCTAAACAATTGAAGAGCTATATGACCAAAAGGGACAAGAAAATAACAGCCAAATCCATCTAAAGTCAACTTGTAAATTGATATCTGTCCAAGGTCAATGTACCGTAGGTTCCAGATTTTTTACAAGATTCATTTCTTGTGTTTTCATCAGTTCAATACAGTTAAATCTCATTTTGAACTCATTTTACATTGTAGATGGCCAAATCTCCTTAAAAGATACTCCAGAACAAAGTCACATGATTGGCTGAAAGAGTATAAGATATGTCATGTGACACCAAAAAAGGTTGCTGCCATGGTAGACCAGTTGTCACCAGCCTACTATCAAGTTGATGAAGTGTCTAAGGAGGGATTTTCTGAGTTTGTAGTATTGTTGGAGGAAAATGAAGCTGGTCCAATCATTCTTGACACACTACTGGACATTGTGAATAGTGAAAAAGACAAGTATGTCAGCATGAAAGTAACTTTTATTTTGTAAAAGCAAAATTGAAAAATGCCAATGTCCCATGCATTAATATTCATCCTCATTAAAATGAAGAAAAAGAGATGGATTCATACACTCTTTACATCAAATACAGAATTCTTAAAATTCAAGAATTGGCTGTCAAATTTAAAGAGATTATTGTGATCATCATTCATTTATATAGAAATCAGATTAAATAGAAATTAGAACATGTAGAATATTAATTGGATATATATTGGACAGTTCAACAGACCACACCAACCAACATATTAACAACACCTGACGCCTCTGAAAAAAATAGACATACAAATACAATTACAAAACAAATAGTCCAAATAGCCTGAATTGGAACAGATACAAAATGTGATGGAGTTATATATCTGCACATATCTTGTGAAAGAAAAACACACAATAAAAAACCTGCCTATTCCACCTTCCAACAGGCATGACAGGGTGACATCTAACTTCGAAGAAGGAAATAAAAGACAGCACATAATTTGAAAATCAAGTTAAAAATGAGTTCAACTTTAAAGGAAGCTAGCTAGCCAAGGTAGCAACTGCTTCCTGTTGTATACTTGCTCTGAAGAAAGCAAACAAACAAAAAACAACACTTCTAATATGTTTTATGAAGTCAAGTCATAACATTTAATTTGAAAATTATTTGCATTTTGATATTGAATAAGTTAGCTGATCATGTCTGTAGCCCTTGCTGTTGAAAGACTTTCCCCATGTTTAAACATATATTTTTGACTGTTTTAGTTCTATTTATGACATTACATTAGAAGGTTATTTTCTTTTCTTTACTTATGTAGACATAAGAACTTAACACGGAAGTTCTATGCAACAAAAGTGATTCGCCATATAACACTAAAACATCTGACAACAAAATGGAAAGAACATATACAGTTACCAGAAGATCAACAGTTATTGGAGACAGGTTTGTTGAATTCATTAGTGTCAATTTTTTCACCTTCAAAGTTGAAGATCTCCACTAAAGGGGAAATTGTCTACAGGGAGATTTGCTACACTACCTAGCTAGTTTTCTCTTTTCTTGTTCTGTAAATCTGTCTGACAAGAACAAAGGAAAACTCAACCTAACTACCTATAACTAATGGAAGATTGGTCTTCACAAGGAAAACTCCACCTTACCACCTATAACTAATGGAAGACTGGTCTTCACAAGGAAAACTCCACCTAACCACCTATAACTAATGGAAGACGGGTCTTCACAAGGAAAACTCCACCTAACCACCTATAACAAATGGAAGACTGGTCTTCACAAGGAAAACTCCACCTAACCACCTATAACAAATGGTCTTCACAAGGAAAACTCCACCTAACCACCTATAACAAATGGAAGACTGGTCTTCACAAGGAAAACTCCACCTAACCACCTATAACTAATGGAAGACTGGTCTTCACAAGGAAAACTCCACCTAACTACCTATAACTAATGGAAGACTGGTCTTCACAAGGAAAACTCCACCTAACCACCTATAACTAATGGAAGACTGGTCTTCACAAGGAAAACTCCACCTAACTACCCATAACTAATGGAAGACTGGTCTTCACAAGGAAAACTCCAACTAACTACCTATAACTAATGGAAGACTGGTCTTCACAAGGAAAACTCCACCTAACCACCTATAACTAATGGAAGACTGGTCTTCACAAGGAAAACTCCACCTAACCACCTATAACTAATGGAAGACTAGTCTTCACGAGGAAAACTCCACCTAACCACCTATAACTAATGGAAGACTGGTCTTCATAAGGAAATCTCCATTTTAGAAAAAAAAATATTGAAAGGTTTCAATTAATATCTTTAGATTTGATGCCTAAAATTTGTATTAATTTGTTGTTATGATTATCAGGTAATAATTTAATTTTGGATGTAACGTGTCTTCTGATTGGCTGGCGTCGTTTTGTTTATCAGCTCATGGACATAATTTTGTCATGTAACCGTGACGTCATCAACGTTTTTTCATGATTTACTCCAGTTTAAAATGGAATTAAGAATTAAATTATAAGAAATGACAGTAATATTTTTTCTGCCTATTCGAAATAACATAAAAAATGTGGTGCACACTTTAAAATTTATTCATTGTGCACCACATTTTTGATGTTATTTCTTCATAGACAGAAAAAATATTACAGTCATTCCTTAAATAGTGTTTCTCCAAAGCATGTTTAGCATGGATAGACGCCATACCATATTTAAATGACGTCATGCCCTTTTTTTTGTCTTAATAAATGATGCCATACCCTTTTTTTAATTCTTTGGGTGACGCCATTGTCTCAAATAATGCCCTTTCTTCCTGTCTTCATGTTTCTGGCAAGTTTATGACCCTCAGCTAATTAACATTAATCGTATGGTATATTTCAGTTCCAACATTGTTTGATAAATATATTTAGGCTTAATAACAGGTTTAATGTGAAACTTTTCGAATAGGCTTTTTCTTGCCAATTACAAATTAACTTAATATCTGAGAAAAAGTAATTATGCTGCATAGCTTATAACTATTCAGAAGAAAATACTATTGCAGGTTAAATTTAGAGGTCTCACTCTGGCCTGAGGCAAGCAGATTTTGTATAGGGAAAGCTAAACCTAAGTTCTGCTTGTACTCTTGGCCAGTTAATTTCGTATATTTATGCCTTATAAAGGACAAGTCAATTTATTTTGCATTGAGCCCCTTGAACTATATTAAACATGTTAAAGTTAAAATCATGTCTTTTTCTTCATACCACCAATAGAAAATTTGATCAGAAATGTTCTGTTTAATGGGATGTTACAGTGTTGTTTAAACCCAAGTCCTAAAACATTTCACCTGCATACTTTTAACAGCAACACACTTATTGCGTTGGTATCTTTGTCTTATGCCAAACTAAAAATTTTATCTACATACTTTTGAATCGGTAATGACATCACAGTCAAATTGTATCACCAAGTCTTTGCTAATAATAACATTTACTGAAATCTTTTATTTTTGAATTAAAAAAATGTAATGAGTAATGTGTACATATTATGTGGGTGAATTTATGGGGCAATATAAGTTCCAAAAGTTCCCTCTACATCCACAAACGAAGAAAGATAAGGGTTATTCCTTTGAAATGTATGTGGGAGGATATATAGAAAAGGGACTTTCAAAATATCCCTACAACCAAAAACCATTTTTTAGATAATTTTGCATAATGGTAATAGACGCATAATGGTAATAGACGCATACTGAAAAAAGACCAATGACCCACATTCAATAATTAAACTTCCCTTCCTACCCTCCCACATACCCAGTACATTTTAATGGAATAGCACAAAGGACACTGGGTCCAAGGATTTTAAATATATTTTATTATTTCAGGTGCAGTGATGTTAGCCCAATGGTGTCAGCCAAGTCTGTCTATCACAGAAAATGAAATATCAGACCAGCTTGATGTTATTGCTGCAAAAGTCATAACACAATGTCCTCCTGGGATAGCTGAGAAAATAAATGGTGGTATGTCGAAACTGATAGATTAAATCATTCATGGCTGCTTAATGTCAAATGCAGGAGTATTACTAATCTAATGATAATTATATGAAATAAATCTTTGTTTTGTACTAGACTGTGATTGAATGTCAGATTTTAACATGTTAGCTCACAATGCGGGTAGGTGTTTGCTAGAAAACATGTCATCCTCTATGGACACATTATGCTAACTCTGAACCAATCAGTCTTTGCTCAGACTATTGAATGTCTGATGCTCAGTGAAAGAGCAGCAAAAACCAGTTTTAATGTCTGGTTTTATACAACTTAATAACAAACATGCAGCCGAAGACTTGATAGGCAGGCAGACTACCAATTGACCACCAAGGTTAAACTGTTAGATAAACTGCTACTGAGGTAGTGACTTTATTTCATCATGGGATGTCTCTTTCTTTTTTTCTAGTTTATATCCCCACTCCAACAAAGTAGGAGTACACTGGTCGTGCTCTGTCGTTCCATCAGTTTGTAATATTTTTCTCAGCAATTACAAATTAGAGCTGCTTGATTGTTTTTAAAACCAAGAATCATATTGTTAATAAGGAGATCAATGTGGTATGATTGCCAATGAAACATTAATCCACTAGAGCCATATGACACCGATGAAGCAACTGTAGGTCACCGTATGGTATGGCCTTCAACAATGAGTCAAACCCATACTGTAAAGTCAGCTATAAAAGGTTTCAACATGATAAAATGTGAAAAAAATCAAACTAGAAAACAAACAGCCTGATTTAAAACAAAAAAAAAATGTGGCAGAAATAAACCAACAAAGCTTTTTTGTATGACACATTTTGAGATTCTGAACTTGTCTTCCTGTGTGCCTGATACCATGCATTCAGTTTACTATACAGTTTTGGTTTTGCTTATTGTTGAAGGCTGTATATGGAATTGTTTTCATTCACATCCTTGTCCTTTTTTCATTTGGTGATAGTTGTCTCATTTCCATACCACATCTCCTTATTTTTATATAACATATTATTTTCGACGTTGTTCCTGCAAGCTTGTTTTAACGCACAATTTCAGATATTAGGATTTATATGCAAATCCAAATCTATATTCTGTCCTACATAATAACTTATATTTATTCAACAAAAATAAGAAATGGCTGCAATATTCATGTTTTCAACATTCATTTACAGGTAAAACATTTGAACTCACGCCACCCCAACAGAGAACAGTGCTTGAGAATGTTAATCAAGTTTTGTATTATGACATTGGTTTCCATGGCAACTCAGAAGATTATTATAATGAGAAGAATTCATATATAAATCAGGTATGTTTTTTTGGTTTTTATACGACCGCAAAATTTTTTGTGGTCGTATATTGGTATGACGTTGGCGTTGTCGTCGTCGTCGGCCGGCGTCGTCGTCATCCGATGACACTTTGGTTTCGCACCATAACTTTAGTTTAAGTTAATGGATCTCTATGAAATTTTACCATAAGGTTCAATACCTCAAAAGGAAGGTTGGGATTGTTTTTGGGGGTTATGGTACTAACAGTTAAGGAATTAGGGGCCAATAATAAGCATTTTTGTAACTTCCAGACAATAACTTGTGTGTTAGTCTATGGATCTCTCTGACATTGTACCATAAGGTTCCATATTACTAAGGGAATGCTGGGATTAATTTTGGGGGTAATTGCCTCAAAATTTTAGGAATTATGGGCCAAAAAAGGGGCAAAAAATGAGCATTTTTCTAGTTTCAAGACAATAACTTGTGTGTAAGTGTAGGGATCTTTCTGAAATTGTACTACTAGATTCCATATCACAAAGGGAAAGCTGGAAGTGAGTTTGGGGGTAATTGCCCAAAACGTTTAGAAATAAGGGGCCAAAAAGGTGCCAAAAATAAGCATGTTTCTAGTTTCCAGACAAAAACTTGTGTTCAAGTGTATGGATCTCTCTGAAATTGTACTGCAAGGTACCATACCCCAAAGGGAATGCTGGGATTGATTTTGGGGGTAATTGCCTCAAAATTTTAGGAATTAGGGGCCAAAAAGGGGCAAAAAACAAGCATTTTTCAAGTTTCAGGACAATAACTTGTGTGTAAGTGTATGGATCTTTATGAAATTGTACTACAAGGTTCCATATCACAAAGGAAAAGCTGAGTTTGAGTTTGGGGGTAATTGCCCTAAACGTTTAGGAATTTGGGGCCAAAAAGGGGCCAAAAAACAAGCATTTTTACAGTTTCCAGACAATAACTTGTGTTCAAGTGTATGGATCTCTCTGAAATTGTACTGCAAGCTACCATACCACAAAGGGAAGGCTGGGATTGAGTTTGGGGGTGATGAATCATAAGGGGGTTCAAAAAATTGGGGGGGGGATTTTTTTTCCTTTTTTTTTTTTTCTTTAAAATTTTCCATTTTAAGTTGTTTATTTTTTATTTATATATAAAAGCAAATAATAATGATAAGGTTTGATTTCATAAAAAATTGAAATATTGGGGTTCTTTGATATGCTGAATCTAACCGTGTATTTAGATTCTTAATTTTTGGTCCCGTTTTCAAATTGGTCTACATTAAGGTCCAAAGGGTCCAAAATTAAACTTAGTTTGATTTTAACAAAAATTGAATTCTTGAGGTTCTTTGATATGCTGAATCTAACCGTGTATGTATTTAGATTTTGGATATTGGACCATAATAGGTAAATTAAAAATTTTTAAGTTCTTAGACCACATTCATTCTGTGTCAGAAACCTATGCTGTGTCAAATATTTAATCACAATCCAAATTCAGAGCTGTATCAAGCTTGAATGTTGTGTCCATACTTGCCCCAACTGTTCAGTGTTCGACCTCTGCGGTCGTATCAAGCTGTGCCCAGCGGAGCATTTTATTATCAGATGTAAAGACAAAGTATTCTGATTATCAGTGTTAATATAAAATAAGGGAGATGTGGTATGATTGCCAATGAAACAACTATCCACCTAAATTCAATTGAAGTGGATGCCAGCAATTATAGGCAACCATATGGCCTTCAACAATGAGAAAAATCCATACAGTATAATCAGCTATAAAAGGCCCCAACATGAAAAATGTGTAACAATTCAATTGAGAAAATTAGCGGCCTAATTTAAAACAAAACAATTTACAAAAAACAAAATGACAGACATGAACCTGAGTGAACAACAACCACTGAACTACAGACTCCAGACTTGGGACAAGCACATAAAGAATGTGGCAGGGTTAAACATCAAGGGTTCTAAACTCCCCCTAACCTGGGACAGTGGTGTTACAGCACAACATAAGAACAAATTGTAAAAATCAGTTTGTTTGCCCAAGTAACATGTGTAATGTCTTGTATTGTCTTAAGTATGCCATGAATAAATTTACCTGTTAGAAGTATGCATTTAATCAAATGTGAAATGCTAAATTTATTTTTCATTAACATTTTGCCATCAAACTCTACTTGATAAATAGGATAGGTTCCATTGTTCAACAATCACAATTATAAATGCATGCAATAATTTCTGAAATGACAGTACATGAGTTTTATCCTAAACTTTTGACTTAAGTGGGAACTTTTTTCACTAATTTCACATTTAAGATAAATTGAATATACGGTAAACCATGGCTTAAATAAGATCTATAAGGAATGTCAAAACCATGGACAAGAAAAACATGAAAATAAAACCTTGCATAGACAATGAAACAGTGTGAACGTTGCTAGTCCGAGAACCTTTGACAAACAGCTCTTGTAGTTGTACATGTTAGGATTGTTTGCAATCGTGTAATTCACCATATTGTTATTATGATTCTACCATTTTATGGGGAAAAAACGGGACTTGACTACTGTTGTACCAAAATGACACAATGTTCTGCTGAAATACACTTTATAATGTAATCGATGTTCCTGTGTTCTATTCTGTACACACTATTTTATTCCTCGTTTACACAGCAAGAGGGACATTTTGCTCCATGGTAGTAATCTTTTTAATTTTGATGTTGATATTTTCATAAATTACTGAAAAACAAAAGCACAGTGCAGTTTGGAGGGAAACACTTTTTTTTTTTACACAAAAAAAAACTACTTTTATACATAAAAAAATGCAATAGATTAATCAGTAAAATTTTCAGTTTCTTTAAATATTCCCAAAAATATGTGATCTGATTTATCATTACATATAGCTCCCCTTTTGATAAATTAAATAAAAACAATTGTAAAAGCTGAAAAATAGATGTGAAAGTTTGTTTATTGTCAGATTTTGACTACGTTTTGGTATTTTTCCATTGACAGGTTTTGAATTTGAAGTCTGGTATTCCAATCACTCTTTCCATTGTTTACATCAGTGTTGCAAGGCGACTGGGTATAGAACTGCATCCTGTTAACTTCCCATCACATTTTCTGATCAAATGGGAGGAACATCCAATGTAAGTTGTCTTGGAAACAGGCAAAAGTTATAAATCTTTAAGTGATACCTGTCTAAATTTACAAATAATACCTTGACAGGTTTGTAATTTACTATATATGTACTTTTTTTGTTGTGTATTTATTTTCACAAATTTCGTGGTAGGTATATTTTTGCAAAAATAGATACATGCAAATACAAATGCAGGTTACATGCCTCTATTGAACAGACGACTGTTTTAAGGATTGAATAATCTTTGTTTATTTTGTTTTATATTGTTATACAAATAAAAACTTAATTAATGCATATTTTAACATTTTCATTTGTTAATTATGTTGTGATATTTTCAGAAATGCCATGAACTTAAATACACACAAATATGCAATACCAAATTTGTCATTTTTGCTGCCTTTCAACAAATAATAGTATTTGTAAAAAGATCTCATTGGTAATTTTATGTTATTATATGATCACTATATTTGTTCCTTCAGGAGCATTTTATCAATGAATATCAAGGATTACAGCTTTATAGTATATATTAGTGACCATCTATTATGATGTAATATGAGGTATGAACTTTCTGATACATATTGGAAGACCACCAACAAATTTTAAGATGAAGAACTGTAAATATCTATAAAATCACCGAACAGTTAGGGATACAATAAACAAATACTTTTTTGGAATTTGCTGGTTGTTAAAATAAAATTGACCTTTAGCATGATTAGGCAGGGTGTGTCAGAGAAAATTTCAAGAGAGGCAATTCGGAAAGTTTTACAAGGGACAGTCGGACTCAAGGAATTTACTACAATTAGTGAATTACATGAATATTTGATAGAAAGTTCATTTCTGATGCAGTAAAAACTTAGTGAAAACTTATTCTTTATATATTCTGCTTTCAGGGGAACTCCAGAAAATCAGTACACATACATTGATGCTTATGAAAAGGGCAGGTTTCTTACACAAAGTGAATTATCAACAAGAATTGGACTACCTGAAGAAATGGCTAATCTAGCAGACCTGTGTAGATCTGTGCCACCTGTTATGGTAATATTGATAGAGGCTATATGGTATTATTATCTCCCCTTTGTCCCCCTGGCCCCTCTGCTATTTTAGGGTTATCTACAACATACTAGCATTGTTCAGATTTGCATCCTTTGTTGGGTTAATGTTTGTTCATTGTTTTTATAAAAGAATGGTCAGTTTCCATTTAATTTTAAAATTCTGTTTATTTCTTAAATTTCTACCAGAATTTGCATGTAATAGTTTTCTCTTCTGGTTCCATAAATGTACTATTTTTAAATCAGACAATATAGATTTATAAAAGTTTATTTAATTCAAAATCTTTTGAATAGGAATTAAGAGATAATTTGGAGATGGGGTAGCTATTATTATGCTCTATAGGCACATGCTACATATTATGTATTAAAAATTATGCCAACACAATGCGTGTGACCATTGAGAATTTTCGTATCGGAGGGGACATTAAGTTTTACCCTTGTCTGTCTGTACATCCGTCCGACATCCCGAAATTGGTTTCGGTTCTCTAACTTTAGTTTGCCTCAACCAAATGTTATGAAACTTATACACAATGCTAATTACCACAAAACACAGATCAGGTTTGAATTTAGGTGGTTTCACTTCTACCTTTCTAGAGTTATGTCCCTTGACAAATGGAAAAATTGCCGAATTTTTCATTTCCGTTCTATAACTTAAGTTTGCCTCAACCAAATGTTATGAAACTTATATACAATGCTTATTACAACAAAACACAGATCAAGTTTGATTTTGGTGGTGTCACTTTTACCGTTCTAGAGTTATGCCCCATTGCAGATGGAAAAATTGCTGAATTTTTCGTTTGTGTTCTCTAACTGAAGTTTGCCTCCACCAATTGTTATGAAACTAATACACAATGCTTATTACCACAAAACTCAGATCAAGTATGAATTTGGGTAGCGTCACTTTTATCGTTCTTGAGTTATGTTCCTTTATAATGTTATATGCAAGCAGGGACATCATAGTGTCCAATGGACACATTTCCCATTTATTTTTCTTGGGACACACTTTTTTCAGCAGAGGAACCAACACCAGTATTTTATCCAAGAAACAGAAAAGCAAAAAATAAATTGACATTAAAGTCATCATTTCTGATTTGTTAAAGATTACACAAAGTAGTCATGAAACTACTGTACTGGTAATTATATTTAGTTAATTCTCTACAGGTGTATCAGAGAATGACGAGAAACTTGATAATAATTGGACGACAACAGGGCTTTGGACAGGGACAATTATTGGGATTGAGAAATGCCATGGAGTTGTATCTAGTTATCTCCCCTGATGATGCAGAAGTTCTCATGTTACAAGCAAGAGTCAATCTTCATCTTAATGTGGATTTGACAGATGTAAGTTACATCAATAAGTCTTTTGATGCCATGTTTTAAATATTATGAGACAAACTTTTACACTTTCTTTCAAAATGGTCAGGCTAAATTGCAGTCCACATATCTGTTTATTGTAGATTGAAATATCATTTGACCAAATTTCTGAATTCAAAATAACATATATATATATATATATATATATAGAGCCAGTAAGGGCTATTCCATTAAAATGTATGTGGGAGAGTAGGAAGGGAAGTTTAATTATTGAATGTGGGTCATGGGTCTTTTTTCAGTATGCATCTATTACCATTATGCAAAATTATCTAAAAAATGGTTTTTGGTTGTAGGGATATTTTGAAAGTCCCTTCCTACCCTCCCACATACATTTTAATGGAATAGCCCTAATAACCACTAAAGGATTCTTGACTTGGGACAAGGACATAAACATTATAAAGATTTAAAACTAACTGTTTTTGTAAGCTTAATATTTGGAATATATTTTTGCTAGTTTGAATGCATACATGTAGGCAAAGTTAAAAAGTTAAATTTAGTAGTAATTAACACCTATTGGGTCATCCATTGAATTTAAAAGCTATTTTCAATTCCAAAAAAATATTGAATAACAGATATGATAGGCAAACATCATTTAAACAGCAATTAAAAAAATCCCAAAATAATTCATGTCTAAGTGCATTGATTCAAGCATCTTTTTGATTTGACATTTCTGGATATACATAAAACTTTTCAAAAAAGTATGCAAAAATGCAAATCAATATTTATTATGTATTAAATATTAGCTCTAATATTTGCTCAACAATTACTGGTATTTAAAGCATTTCACTCTGGTTCCCCTAAGCTCATCATGCTCATTATGTCTAACACTGCTGACAAAATTTGGCATTGAATTTTCCATCAAAATGATAAACTGGTTACCACAGAAAAACAGGAACTGATCAATTCAAATGTGAAAGAGATGTGGAACGAATGCTCAGGGTGAATGTCAATGAGACAGCAAAGCCAACAACTAAAACAAAATAAAAAAAATACTTACTGGTCAACATTTTTTTAACAATAGACAGGTGTCTGTATATAATAGAATTATTTACACTTGTATGCAAATTTGTGATATTACTTAATTTCAAACAAGTGTAAAATTCTGAATCACAATTGAAAATATTTAACGACATAATTTAAAAGTGATTGTTGCATGAAGGCAGAAGATTATTGGAGACAGATCTAGAGTAAATCGCAGCAAATACAGCTAAATACCCAAAAGTGTAAATATGTCTATATGTCAAGCTTTTAATCAACCGAAGTGTATGTGAATAAATTAACAGAGCTGATTGAAGTACAACTAAGCTTAAAATAATAATACAATTACGAAATGTAAATGCAAGTTGAAACCGTTTGATATATTTTTATTTGAACAAAAGTCATTAAATGAAATAAGATTTATGATTCACAGTAGATAGAAATAATGTGTGTTGTTGTGTTTCTCAGGTGATAGATAACTTACAGAGAACTGAGAGTTTTGACAACAGACAGGCTCTGGTTGCACATCTATTGGAGGAGGCCAGACGACAGATGTTGAATTATGAGAGTGAAAGAAAGAAAAAAGTTTGTATTTGTTGGTTTAGTTACATTCCTCTTGTTAATCATTAATAAGTTTCTAAATGCATCAAGTTTATAAGAATGTGAATATTGTAAGGAGTAAATGGATATTGGATATGTGTCAAAATCGGAGCAATCAGGATTTGGGTTGAAATGCTGAAAAATTTACTGTTTTTATACGCCCGTCAAAATTTTGACCGGACGTATTATGGTATATACAATTGTCGTCTGTCCGTCTGTCTGTCCGGCATAAACATGTCGCACCGTAACTTGAGAACGACTTATCCAAATTTCATGAAACTTAACATAGTTGTTTCTTATGATGGTCAAACAATCTGTATACTTTTTGGTGAAAATAAGATTAAAACTTTTTGAGTTACAGGACTTAGTAACTAAAACAGGTGTGTGGTTTTTTTTCACATGTTGGGCCATATCTCAAAAACAATTTATGATTACTGCTTAAAACTTTACACACTTCTTAGTTATATTAATCTTAAGATCTGTATACTTTTTGGTGATGATTCAAAATTTTATTTTTGAGTTATTGAGTATTTTGTAAAAAAAGGGGGAGGGGTTTTTCACATGTCGCGCCGTATCTCAAAAACGATTTATGATTATTGCTTAAAATTTTACACACTTCTTAGTTATATTAATCTTAAGATCTGTTTGCTTTTTGGTTATGATTCAAAATTTTATTTTAGAGATATTGATTTTTTTTATTTTAAAAAGGGGGGTTTTCACATGTCGCGCCGTATCTCAAGAACGATTTATGATTATTGCTTTAAATTTTACACACTTCTTAGTTATATTAATCTAAAGATCTGTATACTTTTGGGTTTTGATTCAAAATTTTATTTTAGAGATATTGATTTTTTTTTTTTTAAAAAAGGGGGGTTTTCACATGTTGCGCCGTATCTCAAAAACGATTTATGACTATTGCTTTAAATTTTACACACTTCTTAGTTATAATAATCTAAAGATCTGTATACTTTTTGGTTTTGATTCAAAATTTTATTTTAGAGATATTGAGTTATTTGTAAAAAAAAAGGGGGGTTTTCACATGTTGCGCCGTATGTCAGAAACTATTTATTTGCATAAAAATTCACACACAAGACGACGGCGTATCATGTGCTCATGGCGCAGCTGTTTATTTTTTCATAATATGTGTGTAAACCAACTTATTTTCATGGATACTTAATTCCTGTTTAGTCTTTACAAGAAGTCTTCCTGTCAATTTATTTTTCACTTTTTTCTTATATTTGGCTATGTTGAACCGGTTGCAAAACCTCCTGAAAGTCATGAAAATTTGTTGGTTTACAGTTTAAAAACATTCAGAAAAGAGTTAAAAGTTCACAAATGGTATTATTCATAGTACTAATTAGTTTCAAATTTGAAACTTTAAATGACTAATTCAAAAGCAGATACCATTAAAAAATGTTAATAGTGCAAGATTTTTATGTATTAAATACATTTTGAAATCCAGTTAAAATGTTTAATGTTGTTTGGACAATACATGTAGCTTCACAGTGAGATACAAAATTTTGTAGTTTTAGCATTTTTAAATATCTATGTTGCGTCTTACACCACTGTTCAATGTGGAGGATTGAGCACTCACAAACATATGTAACTTCTCTACATTCTTTATGTGTTTATCCCAAGTCAGGAATAGTAATTTCAGTGGTTTTCATTGGTTGTTGTCAGTCATATTTGTTATTGTTTTGTCATAAATCAAGCCGTTGGTTTTTTTCGATTGGAATAGTTTCGTATTTTTGTCATGTCCAGGCCTTTTATAACTGACTATTTGTTATGGACTTTGCTTATTGGTGAAGGCTTTACAGTTACCTATTGTTGCTAACATACATGTTAGTTGGACTCTGATTGATAGTTGTCTCGTTGACAATTATACCACATCTCCTTATTTTCATATAACAGGAAACAAATTATTGACATGAATGAAGAAATAATGTGTTTGTATACATTATCTCTATTTGTTCACCTTTACTTGCCATCACAATCATTCCTGTAGATGTTGACGTCATAAGAGAATATTTATATGTCTGATGCATCAATGCAAAAGCGTTTGTTGTATGGCATCAATAGTTCAAGTGTCACAAAATCTCAGGTCAAGTGTTGCAGATTCCTATATAGGGTTAAGGTCAATTATTGATATGCTAGACTCAAGCAACTCATACTGTACCAAAAAATATATGATCCCTAAAAAGTTAACTTTATTTGGAAATCGGTGTATTAGATATTCCTTTGCAAGGGAAGGTGATACGATATACATGTCCATAACGAATTGGTGAAATTTGTTTTTGTGTCGTTGGTTTGCTGTCTCATTTAGGCATACTCGCATATCTTATTTCATTCATATGAAGAAATATATTTAAATAATTTAACAGTAAAGTCAGCATCTTGCCAATCTTATTGAAAAACAGATCCTGTGTGCACACTCTTGACAACATTTTGTTCTACTTTCTGTTATTTATTACAACAGCCTATGAAATTTCAGTCTTCAAATTTTGAAGGTGTGTATTATTACCACAAAACAATATGATCCCAAAATTAAATAGAAAGTAGAAAGGACCGTTGTCATATACAATGTAATTGTAAGCAAAGCACAGACACAGAATCTGTATTTTGCATACTTACTGGATATCTTAAGATGAAAAACGTTAACATTAGTAAAATGATAAACTGTTTTTTTTCAGAGAAAAGTGAAGCAAAGAAGTGATAATCCAAATGTAGCATTTGCCGTTGGCATGGTGATGAGACATAGAAGGTAGAATTTTTGTTTTGTGTTTACCCAACTTCTCCTTTTTATACATTCCAAACAGTGTGAGATTTAACTTTTTGTGAGTTCTCCTCTCTTTCCTAATTTCTTTAATTAAAGTTTTCTCAAAGAGGCATTCAATAACTTGGTGCTTCAAACAGAAGTGCAAAAAAAAAAACATGATAATGCCACTATGTTGCTAGTGCATGTATATGGTACACCTCACCTTTTATGTCAATTCCCAGAAATGTACCTTTTACAATAGGCTGCAGGCAGTAAGTTTTATTTGATCTGAGAATTTTATTCATGTAAATATGGAATATGGTCAGGTAAAAAAATTAAGTTTGACATTCCAAATCCATTCCATAGTTTTTTGAAAGGTTGCCTTGATATTTTTTTTTATCCTGTATCCTGTAAAAGTAAAATACACAGAAAAAGGCTAAAACAATTTCTGTTCCTAAAATTCTATTCACAAACTTCCATTTTATTAAAAATGAAAGTTTGAGTAGACAACATAAAGGAGAATTTTTCATATGTATGATCAGAATTATAATCATTGAGTGAGTGAAATAGTTAGTCTTGTTTCAAGAACTTGTCATTAAATTTCTTCTGACCTCTTAACAACATCAAGTTCCATGTATTTCAAAGAAGTAGTTTTATCAACACTAGCAAAGATTCTGCTCCAACTGGTGTTAGGGGCGTTCTTGTAGTGAGGTGAGAGATTTTGCTTCATGTTGAAGGCTTCACTGTGACTTTCAGATGAAGAACAGCAAGTAAAATGCTGTTCTTTTTCAATGGTTTTTTATGCCCCAACTATGATAGTAGAGGGGCATTATGTTTTTCGGTCTGTGTGTCTGTTCGTTTGTCCTTCCGTCTGTCCCGCTTCAGGTTAAAGTTTTTGGTCAAGGTAGCTTTTGATGAAGTTGAAGTCCAATCAACTTGAAACTTAGTACACATGTTCCCTATGATATGATCTTTCTAATTTTAATGCCAAATTAGAGCTTTGACCCCAACTTCACGGTCCACTGAACATAGAAAATGATAGTGCGAGTGGGGCATCCGTGTACTATGGACACATTCTTGTTTCAAATGTGTCAAGGGACCTTTTTTTGTCGAGCCTTCTACTTTTGTCGAAAAAGCGAGACATAGCGATCCTACATTCCGTCGTCGGCGGCGGCGGCGTCCACAAATATTCACTCTGTGGTTAAAGTTTTTGAAATTTCAATAACTTTCTTAAACTATCCTGGATTTCTACCAAACTTGGACAGAAGCTTGTTTATGATCATAGAATTATATTCAAAAGTAAATTTTGTAAAAAAAAATTCCATTTTTTCCGTATTTTACTTATAAATGGACTTAGTTTTTCTGCCAGGAAACATTACATTCACTCTGTGGATAAAGTTTTTGAAATTTTAATAACTTTCCTAAACTATCCTGGATTTCTACCAAACTTGGAAAGAAGCTTGTTTATGATCATAAGATAGTATCCAGAAGTAAATTTTGTAAAAAAAAAATTCCATTTTTTCCGTATTTTACTTATAAATGGACTTAGTTTTTCTGCCAGTTAACATTACATTCACTCTGTGGTTAAAGTTTTTAAAATTTTAACAACTTTCTTAAACTATCCTGGGTTTGTACCACACTTGGACAGAAGCTTGTTTATGATCAAAAGCTAGTACATGTATCAAGAAGGAAATTTTGATAAAATTTTGTTTCATTTTTTCCGTATTTTACTTATAAATGGACTTAGTTTTTCTTCCAGTCAACATTACATACAGTCTGCAGTTTAAGTTTTTAAAACATTTATTAGATTCATAAATTATCCTGGATTTTTACCAAACTTGGACAGAAGCTACTTACAATCAAAAGATAGTATAGAGAGGAATATTTTTATTATTTTTTTTCCTCATTTTTGTTGAGCGATTAACAGCAAAAGTAGGCGAGACACTGGGTTCCACTGAACCATTACGAATTTTATGAAGTTTTATATCATATCAATATTTACCACTTAATCTGATCATGATAACAATGATGTCATGCTTTGCTTAAATCATCATGTTGTTTTTGCTTTACAGGTATAATTACATGTGTGCGATATATGGTTGGGACTCGAAATGTCAGGCGAGTCAGGAATGGATTTATCAGATGGGAGTCAACCATCTTCCTAAGAAAGACAAACAGCCATTTTACAATGTGCTTGTAGACGATGGTAGCAATAGATATGCAGCTCAAGGTAAGATGTCACATAAAATTATCAAATATTCAGAAATATGACACATATCTCTAAAAAAAGTCTTGGAATTTTGCATGTGTGTTTTTCTATCTGTCAACACTAAATTTCTTAAAGCTTCTCCTAGATTGTAATAATTTGCTTGAATTGGTTGCCACCATGCCATGTTGTGTGTATATCAAGTTCTTTTTTCTAGAGAAATTTTTCTATATACTGTCAGCTGAGAGTAAAGTTTTGGTTTTTAACACCTGCTTTCATAAGATTTACTTTTGGTTGGAATCAAAATAAGCATATTTACTTGGTTCTTGCTCTTCTAAATTTTGTTTATAGAGAATATTTATAATTTGTAAAATCTTTTCCTTTCATTCCAGTATATTTAAATACTACAACCAGTTTATGGTTATTTTTTTTTCTGTGGAATTTGCCATTGTGAGAGATTGATAAAAGAGCAAATATGCTCAATGATGTCACAACAACAAAAAAAAGCATGTCAAAGTTTGTTAATTTGTTGCCTAAAATCATTACAGAAACAGATTCTACCACTGTTTTTTATTGAATAGTAGAGAAATTTTTAGCAAAGTCTACATACAAGTCTATAGAAAATTTGTAATTCGTTGAACATTTGAATTTATATCGCACCTACTGTGGATTCATTATTATTCGTTGGATACCAATTTTCGTGGGTTTCGTGGGTACAAGTAAACCACGAATTCAAATGTTCAACGAATTACACATTTTTCATAGGCTTGTATGCAGAAATTGGTAAAACCATGAAATGAGATATCCACGAAAATGCAAGTTTTCATCAATCCATGAAAATTGATACCCACGAAAATAAATGAATCCACAGTATACCCACGAAATCTATGAAAATTGGTATTCCACAAATAAAATTTAATCCACGGTACCTTATAGTCTTAGACAAGATGTGTATGCATTGATCAGACACAATGACAGAAAAATCTTCTCTTCAGATTCTTTTAAAGATAAAAAATAAACTATAAGAAAGTACTGGCAACCACTTACACAGTCCTCGTCTTGGGCCGATATAAAGATTCTTCTACCATTGAAACCAATCAGAGAAGCTATTTCTCCATTCAAATCAGTTACATTTAATGCATGGAGAATGAATGCATATTTGCAAAATTTAGAAATAAAGTGATTTATCTTGTAAAAACAATTAAAACAAAAAAGACCTGTATTACTTTTAATTATATTTACTTCATGCATATGTCTCACCGTCCCTGTTTAAACTTTTTTTTATCTTATATTGTAGAAAATTTGGAAATTCCAGATTCCATTCCAGAAATAACACATCCAGAAGTTGGGAAATACTTCCATGAGTTTGCTGGAAATCATTATATCCCAAATAACGAAAAGCTTTCTGAATATCCAGGTGACATGGAAATTGTACATAAACTTTTAAGTTCGGACAGAGAGGAGGCAACAGATATGAACGCAATGCCATCGTAACAATGTAGACGAATTCTACAGACCTTAATATTTGTTTTATAAAAAGAAAAGAGCTGTGATAATTGTTTGTTGATTTATAATGGCTTTCCTTTTGATAATATTTTAAAATCATGATAAGTTAACGTTCCAGTTGCAAAATAAGCTCAGCCCCTAAGGCCCAAAATTCAGTAAAATGGATAAATTTCTTTTGTGATCTGAATCTGATACCTCAAAGGCATTTGAACATAGAGAGTGCAATACAGATATTTGTACCTCATCTTTCATGAAGTAAAGAACTTGTCATGTCCATAGAAAGGTGGAGGTCCGCTAAGAGCCCAATTTGGCCTAGAAAATTGAAGTGCTACAAAAACAGGTGATTTTTTTGTAAATATGATTAATAGATAGGAACAAAGTTTAAACTGAAATCTTGGTAAAATTGTTAATATTCACAGTGATTTGAGTGTCGAAAGACAGCATACCTCTAAATTTTCTAGAAAAAAATTACAAAATTTGCACATTTTCACACACATTTGTGAGTGGGAAATATTTAGCACATGCAAGTACTTAAAGAATATCCACATGAGAAGTGTTGTTAGACAAACATTATGGTAAATTATTTATCTGTTTTTTGCATATTCTTTTTATTTTCAGGTCGAAAAAACTTATCTGAAAATTGACTAAAATCTATGTACTTTTCATGAAAACATGTAGAAGGGCTATGCCATAAGGTCACAACTGCATTTATTATGGAGTCATGGGTCAAAAACTACTTTTTTTTAATTTTGTATTACATGTACCTACAAATTAAAAAAACTAAATGGAAATTATTTAATTAAAAGTTCAAGTAACAATGAGCTGTTCAACCCGGTTCTTCATCAATTCCTTGGAAATTAAATACGGGTGTAGCTATTAATTATATATTATATGCCAATTTTTTTTTTTCAATTATATCATGTTATATCTACCGCAGTACATGTATTTTAATAAAACGCTATTTTTGATATGCAGTTTATTTAAGTATTTTAGTCACTGTGTTAACTCAAGACTCAAGATATTTGTTTGTAATGGAATGTTGAAAATGATGATATTTTTTAAATTTGTAGATTTGCAGTACATTTCATACCATTTAAGTATGCGTTATCAAATATGAAATATTTGTTTGTAATGGAATGTTGAAAATGATGATATTTTTTAAATTTGTAGATTTGCAGTACATTTCATACCATTTAAGTATGCGTTATCAAATATGAAAATGAAGACGATGTTTTCTTTTTAAATCACCACATTATGTGAATTCATTTATAACTTGGGGCAGGGGGGTGGGGGTAGGAGGGGACAGTCTGATTTCTTCAAGGTCATTTTGTATTCCAGATTGAAGTTTTACTCACTGCCGTCTGTGTTTCTATATTATGTCCTAGATTGATATTACGTTTTAAGATTCTGAAAATATTTGACCTCCAGTACCATTACACAACATCATTTGTCAATATTACATGCTTGTTGCATTATTTTTTTTACCTTCATTGATATTAAGTTATCACTATTTTGTATCACTTATTTATTTTTGCTAACTTCATACAAAGTATAAATTTAAAGCATGCAATTGCTGAGATTTCACTTAGATTTCTTGGTTTATGCAAATTTAGTGAAAAATAAGTACTCAAGTATAGTAATGGAAACTTTACTTGTATATTTTTCATGTATAACTATCACTATTTATAGTAGTGATTTACCCTTGCGGTCATAAAAGTTTCGAGCACTATTATCATACTCAGACTCAGAAATCAACCAATCAAAATACTTGTATTTGGTGTTTTGAGCGCAATTTTTGTACTAAAATTTATGCTCGAAAGTTTTATGACCGCAAGGCCAGGATGGTTTGTTATGTATTATATTCATTTGTTAAATTTATTACTGTAAATTCAGATATTATTGTGAGGTTTTTATTAATGTGTATAATGCCATTAGATGAGTATTGCAATAATAACAACTTGCATTTTGATATTTGATGAATATATCTGTATGCAGTTTTTCCTGCAATCCTATTTTATAATTAATCCTAAATTTTTGTTGGTCATTGCAAATTTGCAATAATAAATGCTCACAATAATTTCTGAATTTACAGTATTCATTTGTTGAATTTATTATCATTTTCATGGGAAATCATAAAAACTGCAAGTAATTTTACTTAAGAAGCAATAAGAAGTTTCGTCAAAGTATACTGTGGCTATATCAAGATTTTGATGTTAAAAATAATATATTTCAGTACAGATGTACGACTTATTGATATATAATTTTCAACTGCAGTTCATACTAATATGCATCAGATCAATGTAATATACTATGTATATATATATTTAATGATTGTGATAATCATTGTTGCAAATAAAATTTAAAACTTTAGATTTACTTTTCTGTTTATAGAAAATATCTAGCTGAACACCTTAAAATCAAGGAGATATGGTATGCCTGCCAATGAGACAACTATCCACAGAGGAACAATGAACAAAGATATGAACAACTTAAGGTGGCCTCCAAGTTTCTAACAATAAGCAAAATCTGCACTGTACAGTAAGCTATAAAATACCATGTTGACAAATTGTAAAATAATTCAAGAGTGGTTGCTTACATGCATAATGATTATGTTAGCCTATAGATATTTGTTACTTTTGAAACTCATTTTTTATTGGGCCTTTAATAACTTACAAATGTTCATACATCCAAAGTCAAATGTTTATTTCAGCCAATCCTCACTTCAGAAAATATAGAGATGCCTATGTCCATCCTTCTGACAATGTAAGGGCTGACCTTACACCTGTATATATGTCTCTGGTATTAGTAGGGTGCCCATTGTCCAAAAAGTCGTCTAGTTAACGAGTTCAAGTTAACGGATAACACACGGCTGATTTTTTTTTGCAAATTATAGGAAACTCATTATATTTTAAAATCACGATTGTCGTCGTAATGTCCCATGGTCACGATTTTCTAAATTTCGTGTTTTTACAGGGTACCTCCAGATACCGTATTGTACGGGATATCTTTAACATGAAAAATAAAATTATTACACTCTTTGTTGGTGGTTAAAATAGTACTTATGATGTAGTTTATACATTAAATATATGATATAACAAAAGCGGAAAGTATTTAAGTGATTTTGCTATAATTATTTCAGCATTGAAGTAAGACTAAAATTTTACCCTAAATTTACCACATTTTCATCGAAAGCAAAATTGTTACGAGCATCATCACGATAATTTTTGCTCTGATTAAAGCAATAAGACACGGTGCTTGTGTGTGCCAAATTTCATGTGTGAAATAAAAGTAGTTTTGAAGAAATAAGCTATGAAAAACACAAATTAAGTCAACATTTTGGCATTGATTAAAAACGGATTATCCGGTGACATAATCATTTTGTTGCTTACACTATTAGGTCATTAACAAGGACAGTGTTATGTCACTTATTACATTTCTCATTTTTGCTTGTTGTGTGGTTGATTTATTTGTTTTGAATAGCCAGCTAACTTTGTAAATTATTATTTTCTTCGGTAGAATATTTTTGGTGTCTGTTTTTCAATACTTTTTAACTTTTTATTGAATAGATATTTTGTTATAATTGTAGTATAATAATCAAATCGGTCGGTTTCGTGTCACATCCGGAATATGGCACATCAAGTCTTATGTTATCAAGTGTTATGGTCTTGCACGATGTTTTCGACCTAAATCCCCCTCGGTGTGAAGACAACAAAAAGGTATCACCATTCCTTCTATAAATTATACACCAGCAGAAACAACTGCAATAATTCCAAAGCTGAATTGGCAATAGGTTTGTTCGAGCAACCATCTGAAGCCAATGACTTATGTGTGTCAAGCTGCTACACATTCATATTTTTTCCGCGGCTTTGCTGCGCAAAAATTTATTTTCACTTTTGTACACATTTTTATCCTTAAATATCCTGCATTTCATGTTGCAAAGTATTCATTTTTATCCGGTCTTGTGCATAGTCAGTGATTTTCAGTTCATACCAGGCCAACTTATTGACTTTCAAAATCTTCCTCCCCTCCCTCCATTCGAAATCAAATGGTCGTTCCCTTAATGAAAGCTAACGGAAGGGAGTTATCAATTTATAGTCTGAGAAAAGTACGATCATAAACATCATTACCGCTGGTACAGCATGTTTAACTAACTTACTGAATTATGTCGAAATTCTTAGAGAAAGGGATTATTATATACATTCTCGCCACAATGTCGCCTTTTTGTGCTGATGTGGCGTAAAGCTATCAACAATCAATCAATCAATACATTCTTTATATGCCTGTTCCAAGTCAGGATCGAACTGGTATTTGAGTGGTTGTCGTTGTTTCAAGTCTGCCAAATTGTTTTGGCAAATTGTTTTTTATAAATTATACCGTTATTTTTCTCAAATGAATTGTTTCAATGTTTTTATGTCCGGGCCTTTTATAGCCGATCATACGGTATGGATTTTTCTCATTGTTGAAGACCGAATAGTTGCCAATAACTGCTTACTTCCGCATCTCCTTATTTTTATATATACAAGTATTACATGAAATTAACATTATCAATGTTCCATGCAAATGAGGTAAGGTCAGATGAACTGGGCCACACAGACATGTACACTTTGCTACCACCCCATACACCAAATATAATAATTGATCCACTCCTTATAGTATCTGAGATAAGGACTTGACCACTAAAACTTAACCTTGTTCACTGATCCATGAAATGAGGTCGAGGTCAGGTGAACCATGTATTACCGACATGTAGACCTTGCAAGGATACTATATATTAGTAACAAATAAAGTTATCCTAGAACTCATGATAAAAGAGATGCGAAGGATACTAAAGTGAAATTCAAACTCACAAGTGAGACATTCACATAACGAAAAAAAGCTATACAGTTTTTTAGCAGTCACTAATCCATGAACATGAGGTCAAGGAAAATAATTATATGACAGACGGGAACTTCGTAACACAATGGATCTATATACAAAGTATGATAATCCGAATCTTCCACCCTCTGATATATAAAGATATACAAATAGTTTACGGTGTTGCCGCCTCCACCATCAGAATGTATGCTGTATGCCTCGCATTCTGCGACTTGCTTCGAGTGCGA